TAGGCAGTAGTAGTAGTAGTAGTAGTAGTAGTAGTAGTAGTAGTCGTAGTAGTAGTAGTAGTAGTAGCAGTAGCAGTAGCAGTAGCAGTAGCAGTAGCAGTAGCAGTCGCAGTCGCAGTCGTTGTAGTAGTAGTAGTAGTAGTAGTAGTAGTAGTAGTAGTAGTAGTAGTAGTAGAAGTAGTAGAAGTAGTAGAAGTAGTAGTGGTAGTAGAAGTAGTAGTAGAAGTAGTAGTAGTAGTAGTAGTAGTAGGAGGAGGAGGAGGAGGAGGAGGAGGATAGAGGAGGAGGAAGAGGAGGATAGAGGAGGAGGAGGAGGAGGAGGAGGAGGAGGAGGAACAGGGTGATGTCGATTTGGGGCCTTCTTATTTGGATGATGATGTCCTTGTCGCCGCCTCGAAGGCTTGGCTGGAACGCGCTCCAGGGGAGGTCCGTGGGTCGCTCCTGGGGATGGTGTCGAGAGCTCGCTGGGGGCCCACGTCACTACGCATTCCCGACGTCGGATGTCTTGGCTGATGTGTGAGAAATCTGGCAATCAGAAGTCTGTCCGAGCATGCGCCCGCTTCCATAGGTTGGCTCGAGGTCTGAGGGCTGGTCGAGGTTGTCACAGTGGCGCTGACCTACAGCACACCCGAAGGCCCCGTTGCAGCCGAGGCGGCCCGTTTGTTGCTGTTTCGTTTCATCCAGAGGCCAGTTTCGGGCTTCGGGACCGTCAGCGCACGGCTCGGGATCCCAGGGAGGGGCCGAGAGGTCTGGGCGCACGCATTGAACACACCGGACCGCCAGAGCGCCAGACTGTTCTTTTCTCAGGCGTGCATGTTGTTCCGTTCCGAAGGCGGGCCAAGATACAAAACATTCGAAGCATGGATCATTTCGACTTTCGACCCCAGCTTTTTCCCATCAGTTCGGTCTCGGGGGGTCTGTCCTCGGACCCCGGGGCGAAAAGTTGCCCACGGGGGAAAAAAGTTTGCGGGGGCACTCCGCCTGCAGCTTCATGGAGCGCCATTCGTTTGGGCCATCCCGTGCGTGGGAGGACTCAAACGTCTGGCTGCGCGGCCGCGCAGAACGAAAATGCCCAAAGTGACATTGGTTGTGTGTACTTTCTATGCAACGGGAGGACGCCTGGACAACGGCAGGCCAACGGGAGGCCCCAGACGTTTGGGTCCTCCTGTTCGTGGGCCCTTGGCAGAATTTCCTGGCGTGGCGTCCTTCCGTTCGTGGGAAGGCATTATTGTTTTTTTCTGCTGGGCCTCCAGAGGCTTCCCTGGACCTCCAGGGGCCTGCGAAGGATCCAGGGGCCTCCGCAGACGTCCGAAGACCTTGGGTCTCGGCACTGGGAGCCTCCCTCTATCCGACGCTTCGAGGAGGGAGGAGGTCTGGGGCGTTCTGGGATGTCGGAGCCCGTGATCTTCGTTGGTCGTCGTCGTCGCCGTCGTTCGTCGTCGTCCTTCCTGGCCCATCGGGCCCCCCTCCCCAGGGCCCAGGATCCATTCGATTTGGTGCATCCGATTCGATGTCGATGTCGGCCAGATCGATCCGATTCGATTTCGATTTTCCGCCGATCCGATGCGACCCGACGTTTACATGGTGTTGTTGTGCATCCTGATGCAGCCGATCCAATTCGATTTCGACTCCGTGCCGATGCGGTCCTACCCGGCGCACGTTCCGATTCGATCCGATTCTCCGATTCGACGGTTGACTGATTCTGCTCCCCTGACCACCCTGGCCCCCTATGCTGGCCTCCTTGGCTCCCGTTCCTCGCCGCTCCCTCGCGCGAGAGGCAGGTCTCCTTTGTCATTCGAGTGACAAAAGAAAAACGGAGTCGACTGCGCCGGCATTGGCGCGCAAGCTGCCCGCGCAAGCTCACGCGGGAGCGCCCCTCGCCTCCAGCGCCGCGTGCCGCGCTGGCGGCCCGCGTGAGCTGCGGTGTAAGGTCGCCGTGCCTTCTCGCGCAAAGCCTGCCTCTTTCGGTCGCTCACCCGTGTTGTCCGGGGGGAGACCCCGGAAGGCTCCGGGGGACCTCCGAAGGCCGACGTATCCTGGGCGCCGGGAGCCTCTCCCCGCCGCCCTCGGGAGAAGAGGCCCGAGCGCCCGGTGGCTCCAGCGAGAAGCAAGAAGGTGGAGACGCCCGGTCGTTCGCCAGGCTGGGCCCCTGGAGGCCAGCGCCGGGCCCGCGTGCCATCAAGAGCAAGTGACGACGAAGCGACAGCCCCGGGGAAGGGGCCGCCAGGGCGCCCCCGTCTTGAACAGATCGAGCCGCCGGATTCGGAGGCCAACACGCATACACCACCACCGAGCGCGGGGTGTGAGAGCACATGTGTTTCACATCGTGCTCTCTTGATGAGAAGCGCCGGGCCAGCAAAGCGAGCAACAAAGAAACGGGAGGGGGAGGGAGAGTGGGAGGAGGAGGGTCGAGGATGAGGACGGGGAGGAATGCGCGTGCCAGGAGGGAAAGAGTGAAGACGAGGGGAGGCGGTTTGGGAGACGGGGGGGGGCCTGGTTGTCGACACCGACACGCTCAGACGTCCGCGGATGTCTGAGCGTCGGAGGGTTTTAGACTTCTTCTGTCCTCTTCGGACCTCCGGATGCCCCCCAGGGGCCTGGGAGATCTCCAGAGGCCTCTTTCCTGGACGCAAGAGGATCCTGAGAGGGGTGGGCCAAGCTAGCGGGATTTCTAGGGATCTCGGCGGAGGCTTGGAGTAGTGCTTTGCATTTCCTCCTTACTCTCTCCCGGAGGGCTCTGGCGACCACGGCCGGAGGGTTCTGCCCCCTCCCCTCCCCCCACATTCAAAGTTGTTCCCAGACGTTCAAGAGCGCAGGCTTGAAAGGACAAAGAACGTGGAACCCCCGGGGCCTCCACCACGCCAGAGGCCAACTTTGAGTTGGGGGGAAGGGGGGGCGAACATGGTGTCGACGACGAGGGGGTTCCACTTTTCTGTCCCCTTACCGCAGGACGGTGTCCAGGGGCAGATTAGGCAAGATAGGGTGGGCCAGCAGGGGCAACGTTGGGAAAGGACAGGCTCCAGGGGGGGCGCATCGACTCCCCATCACGCAGTGATCGCCGATGGGGCCTGATAGCCCACCCTGCCGAGGAACGTGCGGATTCGCTATCGGGGACATATCGCCGATCTATCGGCGGTATATATATATATATATATATATATATCGCCGATTCCAGGTCGACGTTTCCCCCCTGAGCTGTTCCCCCCTGACGTTGCCCCTCGGGCCGGTCCAGGCTTCTTGCGTCGTGACGAGACACGACGGTCAGTTTCGTCCGAGGTTTCGGCCAGAGGCCCGTTTCTGGCCCCCAGGGGCTGTCAGGGAGCGGCCCCGCGCGGCCCCGCGAGGAGGCGGTCCCGAGGATGGGGTAGGAGGCACGACGGTGGCCGGCATCGCAGCGGAGGGAAGGCCACTGATGATGGACAAAGTCTGAGCCGTGTCCTGCTCCTCCTCCTTCTCCTCCTCCTCCTCCTCCTCCTCCTCGTCCTCCCCCATCTCCTCCTCCTGCCCATCCTCCTCCTCCTCCTGCTCCTCCTCCTCCTCCTGCTCCTCTGCTCCTCCTCCTCCTCTCCTCCTCCTCCCTCCTCCTCCCCTCTCCTCCTCCTCCTCCTCCTCCTCCTCCTCCTCCTCTTCTCCTCCTCCTCCTCCTCCTCCTCCTCCTTCTCCTCCTCCTCCTCCTCCTCCTCCTCCCTCCTCCTCCTCCTCCTCCTCCTCCTCCTCCTCCTCCTCCTCCTCCTCCTCCTCCTCCCTCCTCCTCCTCCTCCCCCCTATCCTCCTCCTCCCCTCCCTCCTCCTCCTCTCCTTCTCCGCCTCCTCCTTCTCCTCCTCCTCCTTCTCCTCCTCCTCCTCCTCCTCCCCTCCCTCCTCCTCCTCCTCCTCCTCCTCCTCCTCCCCTCCTCCTCCTCCTCCTCCTCCTCCTCCTCCTCCTCCTCCTCCTCCTCCTCCTCCTCGTTTTGCTTTCGTCCCCGCGGGCGCGCCAGCGACCCCGCTCTTGGCTTCTCGACGCGCCACCCTTCACGTCGAGCACCAGGCCCCAGCCGTGGCAGGCACGGGCCGTCGCTCCCCAGGGCCGCTGCCGAACGCCCCATGGGGATCCGGGCCGTCCCTCCTGGCAGGCCCGAGTCGGATCAAATCGCCTGATCGGGTCGGGTCGGCAAACGGATCCCCGTCACTCGAAGAAGAAAAAAGACCATAACCATAAATTTTTGGCGCTCCGCGGTGACTTCTTGGATCCGCGCTGGGCCCCTCCCGGCGGCACCTCTGGCGCCACCCCTGGCGCGCTCCGCGTGCTAGGGAGGGGGGTCCAGCGCAGATCCAAGAATTTCCCGCGGAGCGCCACAAGTTTATGTTTATGCCGCTTTTCCTTTCTCTAGTCACGGAATGCGGAGCGATCTGCCGATCGCTCGCATGGTCTAAGTCTTCGCCCCGCGGCCAGAGCCAGGCAACGCTGCACCAGCGGCACAGGGGTTTTGCTGCCAAGTCTACGCGAACGCGCCCTGGTCGTGCGGGCGGTGAAGGGGGAGAGGGGGGACGCCCCGTCTGGGGCGTCGGAGAGAGGGGTGCCAGGGCCACCACGAGGGTGCGAAGTTTGTCGCGCTTCGCGCTCGGCAGTCTGGGCGACTTCAGAGCGAGGCGCGAGTCCCTCATCCTGTTCCGGGAGGGGGGGGGGCGGCGCGAAAGTGCGAAGATAACCGCGCTGCGCGGAGGACGAAGCGCGAAAGTAGTTGCCCTAGAAGCGGGGGGGGAGGACGAGGGGTGTGCGGAAGCCCTGGCCGCGACCATGAAATCTCCTGGAATTCAGCGCCCCTTCTTTCTCTCTCCATTTGCCCCCTGGCCCTCCTCCTTCGTCCGCGCGCGTGCCTCGCCGAGGCAGGTGCCCGGACGAGGGGGCTCAGCGCATCATGGCCCGCGGCGGCCTCGGGCCATGCTGTGCTGACCCCTTCTTGCCGGGCCCCGTTCTGCGGCGCACCCGGCCCCTCGCGGACGCAGCCGCCGCACAGCAGGATCCTGGGGAAGATCTGGACCTCCATGGATCCGGATGGCGGAGGCCTCAGCGGGCTGGGATCGGCTCGCGGGCGGCTCGGCCAGTTGCGCGGGCCCAGGGGCTGCGCGCAGGCAGCCCCAGGAGGTGGTTTCCGCTGCCCTCCACAGGCAGGGCCCCGTCGGAGGAAGCGCGGGACTGGAAACGGGGGCGTACGAAAACTGCTGCACGCAGCTGGCTTCGGCCCCGCAGCTGGGCGCTTCCCTCGATACCGCCTCCTGCGCAGGGAGGCGTTGGGGAAGCCAGCAGCATGAGCTGATTCGCTACCCCCCCTTTTGCGATCCCCCCCCTTTGTCCGACCCGGACCAGGCAGGGCGCGGCAGGGTCGTGACGTGTCCACGCGGCGGCGGCCCCAGCGCGGGCGTTCGAGGCTGAGCGCCGCCAGTGGCCCACTACCTGTCGACGTCGAGCGTTCGCGCCGTCGAAGGGCCGCGGTCGTCTTCGAGGCTGAGCGGCACTCGCCGTGTCGGAAGCCGGCGCCGACGTCGTCACGACACGAACACGTACGCGGTTAGCTGCCCCTGGAGTGCTTGTCAACGCGGACGTTCGTGCAGGCAAGACCGCGGAGGGCGTACATGTACATATGTCGTTGCTCGCCAAGGGGGGTCTCAGCATCCCCGCGCCGACTCAGGTGGCGCCGCCTCGCTCATTGGGGTTGGCGGTGCCGAGACCGCCCACGGGGGCCCGTTGGGTCCAGCTGGTGCTGCCTCCATGGGCTGTGCGTGCGCGGCCTGGAGTTCTGCCATGCTGCGGCCTGGCCTAGTCGGCAGGTGGGGGGACCGGTTCCACCCCAGATCCAGTGATGGCTAGCACGGGGGAGAGGGGAGGATGGGGAGGTCCTCCTCCTCCTCCTCCTCCTCCTCCTCCTCCTCCTCCTCCCCCTCCTCCTCCTCCTCCTCCTCCTCCTCCCACCTGTGGGCCTCATCCAGGGAGGAGGCGGGCTCCGGACCCGCCTGGTTTCTCGACCACCTGGCCCGCTCGCCAGGTGCCTCCTGCCTGCCCCGCCTGCATCGGGGCCAGCGCGCGGGCCCATCAGCCCGTCGATCGAGGTCATCGTCCGGGGGCGCTGGGAGGAGGCTGGTCCAGGATCAGAAAGCAGGCTCCTCCTCCTCCTCTCCTCCTCCTCCTCCTCCTCCTCCTCCTCCTCCTCCTCCTCCTCTTCCTCCTCCTCCTCCTCCTCCTCCTCCTCCTCCTCCTCCTCCTCCCCTGTCGTACGTGCATCGTCGATCGGGGCGTGGGTGCCCCCACCCTGCTCAGGAGCATGCCGCTTCTCCATTGGGGGGCATTTCGCCGATCTATCGGTGAGGCGTCGTCGATGACAGGCCGATGTCCCCCCCCCCTCCCCCGAGCCTGTCTTTCCTTAGTCTTCCGGCTCCTGGCCTCAACCTCAGAGCGAAGAATGTTTCGAATTGATTCTGCTTCGACCTGGCGGCTGGCTGGTTGATTAGCTGGGTGTCGCGGTTTGCCCGCATCGGGGCCTGGCTTCCTTGATTGGCCAGTTGCTCCCCCTCCTCCTGCTACTCTCCTTCTCACTCCCCTTCCTCTCTTTCCACTGCGTCGCAGAAGCACGAGCCCGTTCCTTTATTGCTTGGGGCATGACGGGCGTCATGGCCCCCGCTCCCCCCCCCACTATGACTTAACGCTCCCCCCTCCCAGTGCGCTCCGGGCACTGCCGCCGTGCGCATTGGGATCCGCGTAGGAATCCGCATAGGTGTCTGGTCCGCAGGCGTCGTCGTCGTCGTCGTCGTCGTCGTCGTCGTCGTCGTCGTCGTCGTCGTCGTCCGTCGTCGTCGCTCGTGGTTCGTCGCTCGTCGCTCATCGTCGTCGTGCGCGCGGACGCGGTTGGAGCCTGTTTTTTAGCCTGGGCCGATGACGGCAATCATTTGGGGGGGATGGGGGTCGATGACGTCACGTTTCGCGCTGGCGGCGTCTGGGAATGCTTAGGAATGACGGAGTACGGGTAGCACGAACACGTAGGTGGCGATATGCACCACAACGCCTGTGTACATCACAGTGCCCGCGTGCACCGCAGCGCCTGTGTACACCACACCGCCGATGTACACCACAGCAGCCGCGTGCAACACAGCGTCAGTTTGTGCCACCGTGCCTGCGGGCACAGCAGCTCCTGCGTACACCACAGCGCCTTCGTACCCCACATCAGCCGTCCGCAACACAGCACCAGTGTACACCACAATGCCTGCGTGCATTGCAGTGCCTGTGTACGCCACGGCGCCTGTGTGCACCACATCAGCCGTGTGCAACACAACACCCTTGTTGTGTATAGAATTTCAGAAGGGGTCCTTGTGACAAAATGGAGCGCGTGTGGATTCCAGAGAAAACATTGGAAACCAGTCCTCATGGACAAAGGAGCGCCGCTGGAATCTACGAGTCCCCCCGAGTCCGCCCGCATCACCCTAACTCCCATTTGCGTCCAGGAGGCTCCAGCTAAACTGGCCGTCCGAGAACCAAGTGGACCGATTCAATCGACCATTCTGCGGTGCACGCTGAGATGCGCACGTGCGTTGTAACGCCAAGCCGCACGACAGGGGGTAAGGAAGAGGAGGAGGAGGAGGAGGAGGAGGTGGAGGAGGAGGGAGGAGGGAAAAACGTCGCATTCGATTATCAGAACTTTCCTGGCGTGGCGTTTAGTTGTCCGCAGCAGATCCTGACGTACATGCTCCTTCTACCTGTCCTATGCACGCAGGCACTGTGGTGTACACCAGCGCTGCGTTGCACGCGGATGCTGTGGTGTAGACAGGCGCTGTGGCGTGCACAGGCGCTGCGGTGCACGCAAGCACTGTGGTGTACACAGGCGTTGTGTTGCACATGGCTGCTGCGGTGTATGTACACCGGCGCTGTAGTGCTCCCAAGTATTGTGGTATACACGGGCGGTGCGTTGCACACGGCTGTTGCGGTGTACGCAGGCGCTGTGGTGCACACGCGCGGTGTGGTGCACGCGAGCGTTGTGGTGTACACAGGCGCAATGGGCAGATCGCCACTTACATGCTGTCGTCGTCGTCGTCGTCGTCGTCGTCGTCGCTCGTCGCTCGTCGCTCGTCGGGTCGTGCGCGCGGGCGCGGCTGTGGTGCCGGAGCCACTCGGCGGGGGGGGGCGTCACGTCATACCCCCCCCCGCCCTCCCCCCCCCCCCATGACGCCCGTCATCGCCGAACATAAAGAAACGCGCTCCAATGTAGTTGATCGAGGTAATGATGTCTGGCATTCCTAGTTTGCAGGCCCGCCTCGTTGTTCGTCCTATCAGCTGTCCAAGCTACTTTACCCCACAGAATGCCCTTTCCAAGAAACAGCGATCGAGACGAGGATGAGTGGGGGGAGGGGGAGCGTTGGGAGGGGGGGGGGCAGAAAGGGAAGAGGATGAGGCGGCGGGGGCGGAAGAGAAGGAGGGGCCGGAGAAGGAAGATGCGGAGGAGGATTCGGTCGTTATGATACATACGATTGGGAATATCAGGAGAAGATGAAGATGAGGATGATGATGACCATGAGGAGCAGAGCAGGATGAGAAGGAGGCGAGGAGAAACTGGGGAGAATATCATGAGGGGATGGAAAGCTTCGAGGGTGAGCAGGATAATGATGAGCAGGAGGGATGATGATAATGCTGATGGTGATGATAATGATAATGATGCAGATGATGGATGCTGTTGATGCTGATGATGCTGATGCTGGTGCTGATGATTATGATGCTGCTGATGATGATGCTGAGGATGATGCTGCTGATGATGATGCTGATGATGATGCAGACACTGATGGTGATTATGATGATATGATGAGGATGACGAGGAACGGAATGATGACGATCAGGATGAAGATGATAATGAGGAGGAGGATGAGGATGAAGATGAGGATGGTGATGATGATGGTGATGACGCTGATGATGATGATGCTGCCGATGATGATGATTGTGTTGCTGCCGATGGTGACGATGATGATGGTGATGATGAGGATGCTGCTGATGATGCTGATGCTGATGATGAGGAGCATGCTGATTATCATGATGATGTTGATGTTTTTTTGACGACGGCGATGATGATGCTGATGCTGCTGATGATGACTCTGCTGATGCTGATGCTGATGATGATACTGGTGCTAATGTGGGTGATGATGATTATGATGATGAATGTGATGATGAACATGATGATGCTGATGATGATGCTGATGATGATGGGTGACGGCGATGCTGCTGCTGCTGATGATGATGATGATAATGGTGATGCTGGTGCTGCTGATGATGACGTCGCTGATACTGATGCTGCGTATGATGATGATGATTATGATGCTGCTGATGATGCTCATGATGATGATGATGATGATGATGATGATGATGGTGATGGAGGTGGCGATGATGACAGTGGTGGTGAGAATGATGCTGCTGGGGATGATTATGATGAGGATGAGGATGAGGATGAGTGTAAGGATCCGGATGCTGCTGCTGCTGCTGCTCATGATGATGTTGCTGCTGATGATGACGATGATGATGAAGATGATGACGATGACGGTGACTATAATGATGGCGACGCTGTGACGACGACGACGACTACAACGACAACAACTACGACGACAACGACAATGACGACGATGGTGATGATGATGATGCTGATGATGATGATGATGATGATGATGATGATGATGATGATGATGATGATGATGATGCCGCTGCTGCTGATGATGAGGATGAGGATGACGATGATGCTGATGATGATGACGATGATGATGGTGATGATGCTGCTGCTGAGGAGGAGGAGGAGGAGGAGGAGGAGAAGAAGAAGGGTGGTGGCGTCTGGTGCCGGGCACGGAGCAGGGCGCCTCGACCCTCGGGTCCGCGGCATCGCGGCCACCGCCCACCGCGGTGGCCCTTCGACGTGGAGTTCGGGAGATCGCCGTGAAAGGAACCCAGACCTCGGCGTGTTTCTCGATTTCGGCCTCGTGAGTCCGCTTTCGGGCCCAGGGACAATGAACCGCTGATCCGATGCCAACGCCTGTCCC